CTATTACTGTCAAATTGGACGGTAAAGGTTGCAGTAGCGCGCGGAGCTTGAACAGTATGTGATAGCATGTGGGCTGCAACTTTTGTGCTAACACCCACCCTGAGTGGCGTGTGGAGTGCCATTTGGTTCACCTGCTGTGCAGTGAGAGTAGGTGGCACTAGTGCCACGGTTTTTTCAAGAAAATGTGGACCGGGGAGGTGTAGCTGCGCACGTCCATCAAATTTAAGTCTGAAGGCAGCGACTTCGAGGCTACTTCGCTGATCTTAGAACCCGATGGCGGCTTTCTCTATTTTTCTCTCCAAGAAGATCACTCCCAACCCAGCTAAAACCTGTGTGTTGATGGCCAACACTATTCTTTGATCCATCATGTCGCTAAGTCTGGTGGTCGACGTGGCAAGCGCCCCAACTGGAGGTGAGGCTTACAACGGACGGGATTGCGTGGATTTCCTCGTCTTGGCGCAGGAGGGGAGCTTCCGCCCATGCCACGACTGAAAATGTTGGAGAACTTCCCAGCTTCGAAAGTCTTCTGCTAATGTCTCCATAAGGGACACCTAAAGTGGCAGAAGTTCCATAAGGTTGTTCCAATTGCTCCAACCGACGCAGGAACACCCTTATGGAACATGATTGGAACGCTCCATGATGTCTCTAACTTATGCAGGGGTTGGCTTCATAAGAGGCACCCCTTCGTTCGACTGGATCGACCTCACCGATGGTCGGGGATATAACGTAAGGGTTTGTCCTAGAAAACGTGTAAAGCCGTGGGTCAACAAGAACTAGTTTCGAAATGGAAAGGCCTGCAACTGAACCATCATCCACTGTTACTGGTAATGGGATATACCCCACGCATGTGTTATTAAACTGATGTTGGTTGTGGTTGCCGTTCTGTTTGGAAACTTGCGTGCCAAAGACATCCAAAGACCATTTGCTTGCCACAGAAAGGGTTTGAACAATTTTTAAACAGACTCAGACAAGAGAATTTTGGGGGGGTATACCCAAGCAAGACCGTAATATCCTCCCGTGGTCACCTATGCCATGCTGGAACGCTTGAAGTGGTTGGAACGAACCGCTGAAGTCGAAGCATGTCTTGGGCGGTGCAGGACCAACAGGTGACCAACATGGCGCAAAACGGGTCCATGACATTGATATGTAAAGGAATTGGATTGTGCAAAATCTGGTTCATTGGTCTCCATCTTCGTCCCCAACACCAGTAGAGTTTGTTGAGTTATGGTGATTACTCCAGAGTCCAATTGTCATGCAGCAACCAACCAACCTGCCGCGAAAGGCCGACACAAAAAAACGTTTTTTTCCATCGCATCTGATCATCTCTAGGAGCTCCAACGTGTGGGGCACCTGGCGGCAGCAAGGGACTTGGAGGCTTTGGCGAAGACCGCCTATGCTCACCAGGCCGCGGGCGGAAAGAGTGAAACTTGAACTGGGTTGAGGTGTGGAAGTGTGTTGGGTTTCTGCCTCAATACATATTGCTACTGTGTACCTACTAGAGCCTTTGTTAGGTACCCATATTACTACTGTGTAGGTCCGAGGGGGGCTGAGTCTATATAACATAATGTTGGGTTTCTGCCTGACTTGGCTTCAACGTGATATTGACAAATAGGTGCAGAACCGCATGATGAAGAATGGTGATCAGGACCCCTCGGAATGATCCACTGCCAGCTCCTCAATGCGGGAAGCGGAGAAAAGGATCGAGATTCGGGGTGGACTTTTACCAAAGCAACTCGCGAATTCCGCTTGGGAAAGCCTCTTGTTTTTGCAGCGTGGCCAGGGCAGAAGTCGCAAAAGGCCTTTTCCTGGCCAGAGCGGATTCTTTCCTTGAACCTCCCGAGCCACGCGAGCTCCAAGAAGAAATCACCCAAGTGCAGATCACGCAAAGTCGAGCAAAACGTTGAATCCAGGAAGGCCACATCATCACCTCAGCTTGGTGAAGAAAATACTCCAAGGACCTGGAAGGAAGAGATACAGACTCGATGGTCTTGGTCTGTCTAGGTCTGCCAAGGGAGTGATTGGTGATCAGAGAGATCTTCAAGATGCGGCGATCGATTGAAGCGCGCGCACGGCGCACGGTAATCCAAATCAGGGTGGACACCGAAGAGCTGCCGGCGCTGCTGCCCTTCGCAGCATATCCGAAGGCCGGTGTAGTTCCGGCCCCGACGGTTCTCCACCCTCAAGTCGAATCGGACGGCGTTTCCCTCGGCGGAACCGAGGAACACCTGTGGGCGCCGCGCGAAGCGAAGTACGCAGTTTCTGAGTGTTGCCAGTTTCGCTGGCGCCACGGTGGTTTGATGCTATAGGGTGGTGGTTTGGATTGTTTTCATGTTCAACTCTTACTTGGATGATTGAATTCTGAATTCACTGACTGATTTTTGTCAAGTGACTTGAAAGCATCACCGGGATGTTACAACTAATGGTTGCTGTTCCGAGTATGTTTGACGTGGTCAAGGTTGCTTGAAGTCTGGAGTGGGGTAGCATGCCCATGTGGAAGGAAAGTTCTGCAAAGGGACCATTTTCTCAAATCCATTCCCAGAGATTTGACATTGGCAAATCCTGGCGAACCCACACGTGCACCAGCTAGTGGGTGGCCCCACGATAGAAGATACCTCCTTGGGATACCGAATCTACATGCCAGGTGAACAATACGTGAACATGCTTGGATGGGACATGCCTGCGTGCTAGCAAGAAGCGATCCACCCACCCTGCAAGCTGTGAGTGGACCCCAGGGTGAACTTTGCCGAAGCGTCGCGCAGAATGGTCGAGTGGAAGAACAGTCTGATGGAAGTGGATGGGTCGGCTATGCGCAGGCGGATCGGGGCGCCGGCGGTTGGTTCCCGCGAAGATACCGTGAACATGTAGAGACGAGTCCCGTGGGCGATCTTCACCTACAAAAGTTCTGATGTTTGTGTGTGTGTCCATTGGTTCACTTAGTTGTTTGTACCTTGATGCACCTGCTTCGCTCCAAAGAATCAGGCTCAAGCAGGTGTTTGTACCACGCCGTCACTCACCTCCCTTCCAATCCGACCAACCTGCTCAGCTCGCGCGACCAGGCGGAAGTGAAGCTGGCGCCCGGTCCCGTGCCACGCCTCGCCTTCCCCGCGGAACGGACCCGCCGCTCGCTGGAGGAACGTCGGAACGGACCGGCGAACAGCGAGGACGGGCTGGGGCGAGGAACGTCGGATGGTGCTGGAGCGATGGTGCTGGACATGACATTCGCTCGCTGACACGGCCAAAGCGTCATTTCAAGTGCGCCCAACGGCGCCTACTGCGCAGAGTTTCCGCGTCAAGCGTTGCAGGATGGGCAGGCCACTGCGGCCTCGCCGGAAGAGCCTTCCACAAAGCCTGTGCGGCGCTGGGGACGGAACGCACAACAAAGGAATGCGATAGTGCTGGAGTGTTTGGAGGGCGGTGGTTGGGTAAGAGGGCGTCAACAGCTACTACAGAAGTGTGATAGCAGATAGTGCTTGTTTGTTTTGCTGTATTTCTATTGTTTTGCGTGGCTGGAGGCACCATCAGACAGGTTTAAATGGAAGGCAGGCCAAAACGTGATTCCATGATTGTCTCACTTGTGATCTGGGATTGGGTGATCGGGGCTAAACAGTTGACCATTTCCTACCCAGTCAGTGGATCACCTTCAACCTCTTTAGAAAAGTGGAGCCCCCACTCAAACCGAATCAGTAAAAATGTGGAGTTTGCTCAATCTGCATCTTTCCGCCTAATTTCCAGCTCGGAAGGTCTCTTTTCCAACCGGTCGCTGGTGCGATTCGAAGGGAGCCAACGGCTCGGGTCGCCGGATATCCATATTCCATCCATGGCTGGTGGCTGGTCCAAACCCGGAGCCTTAAACCTGGTAGGTTGACCGGGCCCCCAGCGTGAGCCTGGGTCCCATGGGACCGGGAGAGGCTCCACTCGCGAGAGGATGGAAGGTGTCCAAGCCAGTCAAAGATGATGACCTGGTTTGGGTGGATAAAAGGCAAATAATATATTATATATATTTTTTTTTTTTTGTTGTTATGATCTGTTTTATATATGTTCCCTGGATTTAGGTCAACGCCCTGGCATGGGGCATGTTCCAGTTCCTGGACCGCAAATGCAAGATGATGTTCTTTTGTACCTCTTTGTGTTTTTTGATGTGTTTTAAAATCTTCGAGTTGGGAAATCATGTTGCTTTCATTCACCGCTTCCCCCAAGGGCATATTGTTCTTTGGAGGCCCGAGGGGCTGTGGTTGTAGTGGAGTTCTCAAGGCTGGTGATCTGCTTTGCGGGTTGCCCATTCCATGTGAGTGATCTGCTTTGAGAGAGTGCACTCCAAATGTTAGTCATTATATGTTGGAGTTTGCCCTCCAAATGTTAGATGTCATTATGCATTATATCTTAGTAACTTTATCTTAGTCGTATTGTGTGAGGACACTCATGGTGTCCTTGCTCTACCGTGACGAAAAACGTGACTCTACCAAGTGTTCAGCTCCGGAGCGAGGGCTCAGGTCCCCACCATCACCTCAGGTCCTCAGCTTGTGTCGAAAAAGGGATGGCATACAACGAAGGTCGTAAAAACGACATGATAAGAGCCTCCAATTGCCAACTTCCCATGTCGTTTCTTTCATCCCTTGCGGTTTAAAGATCCAGACGGAGCTGGAAGAAGGCGACCTTCGCAGTCCCAGTCACCTTCGCAAGCCCATGAGTCGGCTCACTTTGAGCGAAAAGGAGGGCGACATGTGACATGAATCACCCCGAAATTCATCGGAAATGACAGGAAAAGCGGAGGAGCACCGAACAGTTTCGTGAAATGTTTTGGGAGGATTGGTTTTTCCTGGCATGTGAGCCTCTATTTTCTAGGGACCTCTGTTTGGAGGGTCAGCCATACAAAGCGCCCTTTGCAGCAACCAGCTGCCTTTAGCCACACTTGTCCAAAAAGATCAATAAAACATAGGTGTGTCTCAGGCCCTCTATAGTGAACTACCAGCAGCAAAGAAGAACAATCCACGCCGGCGCGTGTGGGGAACACCCCGTCACTGCCACAACTTCCATGTCGTCGTAGTGCTCGTAGCTCATGAGTCGATGGAGTCATGCAGGCCACGTGGAGCTTTTTGCGACGTGCTTTAGCGGGCTGCGGCGTGGTGAATTCGAGCTGAGCGGAGCTGAGCGGTTCGCGACGTGAACGAGAGGTCTGGTGGATTGGTCTCGGTTGGTTCGTTTGGGGACCTGGTGGTTCGTCTCCCTTTGATGCCACCGGTGGTGTCCGGTCGCTTGGTGCTTTGAGAACCGGATGGATGACTTGGAGCAAGTGGCATCAGGCAGGTTGCAGCTGTTGAAGAAACCGAAAGGTACAGAACAATCCCTCACATGCACCCAGGTCAGTACCCAGGTCATGCTGTGCAAAGAGCAAACAAAAAACATCCAAGATCCGTGGTTTTTCCAACCTGCATGGCACCGCTCGGTCCTTGCCAGGTCACGTATACCCTCTTGGCGGCGGACCACTGGTGTGACAATCTGGGTGGCGCCGTGCGGCTGGGCGACGACTTCGATGGCTACAGCCTCATTGGCTGCCAAGCGCAGTGCAGCAAGGAGACCGCTTGGGATTGGCGCCCTGAAACCCATCATGGGCCAAGCTAGATGGCACCTGGGCTGGTTCGGGGTCATCCAGCCCCCTGTTTCACACCCCTTGAAGCGTCCAGGTAGGCATCCATGTCCCCGAGTTGGGATGAGGAAATCCGAAGATCGACCAGAGCCGGTGAACTTACTCCACCAAACCGTCAGGGGTTGTGGACCGTTTCAGCCCGCCTCTCCGATCGCATGAGCGTGCAACCGGACTGAACATCGAAACCAATGTCCATCCATCTTCTTTTGTATGCTTCGTGCAGCCGGGTTCATCCGTATGCGGGTTTCGATATGGAGAAGACGATTCAAACTATTCAAGCCTAATGTGTGCTCATTGTGTGGCGTGTCGCAATCCTTCAAAACTGAACTGGTAAACCCTTTTCAGGAGACCTTCCGATTCCACGTCACCGGCCCAGAACATCACAGTGCCTCCTTTGGCGCCAAACGGTTCATTTCGCTCTAGCGGAGACAGCCAGGACCGTCGCTGCGCGTATGTGTCCTTCAACCAGAAGCTCGTCAAGCAGTATTCCTCCTTTTTCCTCGAAAGTTGGGAGTATAGGATCTGCAGGAGGAAACTTGCAAAGAATCCTCACTGGACCTTCCTGTCAGGGTGTCGTAAGTGGAGATCCGGTCAGTGTCGTGGCGTCATGGGGAAAAGCTGCTGGGCGTCACAGAGCGCTTCTGAAAGACGAGAAACGCGGGCCCCGCCGCACGCAGGTTTTAGTATCCCTGGCCTTCGAAGACAATTCAATAGGATTGTTGAGTTTTGCCGTCCAAAGACCATAACGCCCGTTAGCAGGACCATTGATTTAATTAATAGCTTTCACCGAACAACCAAGCTGTTTTACTAAGCATCTTAAACGACAAAACCAGGTCAACCATTTTCCGAATGATCAAACGGAAGACCCGGGACCTCCCTTCAGAGAAGTGAGAGAAGTGGCTTGGCCGTGTCCAATCCCGTTCAGCTAGCGGTTGATGGCGCAAGATGGCGCAAGCACAAAGGAAATAAGAAATGAGAATAGGTGCTCACTCACTGACACTCTCTCTCTCTCTCACTCTCACTCACTTTCTCTCTCTCTCTCTCTCTCTCTCACGCTCTCCCTTTTTTCCCGTTTATCGCTTCTTTTTGCCTTCAAGGAGCACATAGCACCAATGACCTGTCCCTACTTCGTCAACTTTGCGTGCAACTACCTTGCAGCTAAGGAATGATGGCCCTTCGTCAGCAGCTCCGGGCAGAAGGGGAAGCGACAAAAGAGTGACCGGGAGCAGCGGGAGCAGTACAGTAGGGATGCCCGACTTACCTTGAAGTCAGCAGCCACTCCTCTCAAAGACCTGGGGTGCTGACGGTCAACATGGTCAACCAATCTGTGCCGGTTGTTCACCCTGTCAGCTGGCCCACAGCATGGGCTTCCTGGTTTGAGGATGTTTGAGGTTCTTTCTTTCTGTGCAGGTCCAATGCCCGTGGAATTTGTTCGCAAATGCCCAAAACGGACATCTCGTTTCTTTGGACACTTCCGTTTGTATGCGACTCCCAAAACGTACTTTTTGTCGTAATTATTCCACATTTGCGCAGAGGCCTTTTGCTACCCGGCCTGCGTTTCGACCATGTAGATGATTTTGCTGGCCTAGAAGTGAACCCGTTGGCTGGCACAGGTCCGATCGCTAGAAGGCTAATTGTTCCTAGTAGCGTTCTTGCTCCTAGTAGCGTGCTCCTAGTAGCGATGCCAGGAGCCCCTAGTAGCTTCTTGTTCCGGGGTCGTAAAACTGCAAGCTCTACGCAAACAGCCTTCTCGTCCAGCTTGGCATTCACGTGAGCTTTCTCGCTCGACGTCTCGCTGAGGTTGGTGCTCCAAGTATGCCATTTGCGGCACCCCAACCACGATGCCCAACGAATTCCCGCAGGACGACCACGGTCTGCGCTGTTCTCCGCTCCCGAGGAAACTGCACCCTCCGGCAGGTGGGGAAGAGAAACTGCACGTTGGCTGCCAAACTTGTATTCAACACTTGCTATAGCACTTTTTCAATCTTTTTCACAATAGGTCCTGGTGGCGGAGCAAACCCCCACATGCCAGAGATTAAGAATTCTTGCTTGGAGATTTCTCTTGGACCCGGGCAGTCGCTGACTCACTGCAGCGCCTGCTCCGCTCTGCTGCGAAGTCTCTGCCAGTTGCAGGACCCCCGCGGTTGGTTGACCTTCGCAAGGGACCAGGCGGAGGCGGAGCAACGACTGTTGGGGGGGCGTGGAGCCAGTTCGAGACCCGGAGCGTCTGGGTTGTTCAGTGGATCGCCCGAAAACCCGGTCGGGGGATTTGGGGGACACTTTCGATGGCTGGGCAGCTTCAAACAGGTGGAACGTTGGGTGAACCGATGTGAACCTCTACATTTTGTCCAGGGCACCTGAGGGAATCCGATTCTCATCCATCCACAAGCGCGAGGTGAACAAAGCGAGAAGATGATGTGTCTTTTGCAGCCCGGATCATTTGGGCATGTAGATGTGGCACAGAATGGCTTCCCACCACGTGAGTCCGAGAGCAGGGGGTGCGTTCCAGTGTGAAGAGATGGTCTTGGGCAGTCCAACCTGAATTGACCCAGCCAGTTTTATGAGCAAATCAAGGTAACCTATTTCGTACAGTTTCTTTGTAAATAACATGTTTAACAAGATCCCGTTGAACACAGATTTGCACAGCTGAGAGGTATCCAGCGACCCTTTCGTTTGTAATTCAGAGAACCAGCTCGAACTGGTTGAAAAAGAAAATTGCACATGCCTTGCATGCCTAAGGGCTATGCTTGCACAATACAAAGCACATTGGTGGAATCGCGCGAGCTGAAAGATAACACGCTCTGCCGACTTCCCCCTTTTGGCAAGGAGGGCCTCTTCCTCGAACAAGAGCAGTTCCGAAAACTGTGCAGGGCTTCTTATTAAACTGTCCTCGGCAGCCATCTTGTCGCGGGCGCTCTTGCGACGAGCGCCACGGTAGCGCCCGGTGTTGCGCTCGCAGCGCCTCCTTTCGTGCATGTCACAGAGTCTCCTGCAAACATGTTGCTGCAATAAACCCACTTTCACTGCTTTTGAACATGGAATCTCCTCTCGCGACATGCCTGCAAAGCAATATGCGTACAGAACTGCTTCTTTCAGAAAAGGGCCGGGTCACCCTTTTTGGTGCCGGACTGGTCTTGGGACCGTTAGCGTAATTGTCTGGGCGTTCTTGAATTCGCGCTTCCGGTGATCTTTGCACTAAACGTGGCATGTAAATATACATGTTGGAAAATCAGAGTTCCTGACTCCGAAGCGCGCGCGAAAACAAAAAGCAATACCAAGAAAAAATCAATTAAGAAAAGCGTGATCATTGCATTCATGGCTGCGTGCGAACACACCCAAAAATGTCGAGAAAAGGTAGCAGCGTGGCCAACGAGGCAAGAAAAGTTCAAAGAGAAAACCATTGCTAGAGGAAGACAAGAGGAAGACAAAAGACGAGAAGAGGATAACAAGGTGACAAGAAAAGACAACGGCGACAAAGATAGGACAAGAGCGACGACAAACGGACAAGGTCTAGAGCCCGAACAGCTGCGGCTATGATGCATGCCAGAAGAAGGAAAGGAAGATGTCAACATGTGGATAAAGAGAGGAAAACAAACCACCCACAGATACAGCGTTAACCTGGGAGACATTGAGAGTTCGATGGGCGTCAGGGATGGCGCAAAGGGTCCCAACAGATTCAACAGATATGAGACATGGAGAGGTCCTGCCTAGGCATGTTGATGAGGAAAACTGACTCACATAAAATCCATCAAGCTGAATGGTATTGAGAACCATGATAGCTCGCAGCAAGCGCCTCAATGGCAGGTTCTCCCCCCCCAGCTGAGGTTTGAACTGACCTGTGCTGCGACCCATTGATTCTCAAAGGGGGCCGCAGTTGTCCCCTCCAGAGGACCACATGAAACCCGAAACCCACTGGGTTGGTATTCGGAAAATGGTTTGGTGTGTCGAACCGTTTGCCCTGCATGGCCTTTTGCCGCGTGAAAAGCGTAGACTCTGGATGACTCAAAGATATTCCAAAACCACCCATCGACCCTCGAAGTCGAAAGACTACTGTTGCAACCACCTGTTCAAAGATGGTCTTGGCCATCCCGGCCTTATGGCTTGAGATGTTTGTTCCAAGCCTCTTTCAATTTTTTTGTGGAGTTGATATTTGAAATAGATCATTAAAATCAAGAGTGTCTACATGACCTGCCAGGATGTGCCGCAGTTCTACGGAGATTGTTCTCAACATGACTTCCAGGCACGGTCATCCCGTCGGTCCCGAGTGGACGATGTCGGTCCCGGCGTGGGGAGATGTGACGTTCCAGGAAGACAATCGAACCAAAGAAGCCTCCTTATACTTCGGGAAAAAGTGGGATGAACTTATTTGGAGTGCGAAAGGGCTCGGGGCTTGTTTCTTCATTTAGGGTTTCTTAGAGATATAGTCTGTAGTGTTGGACACTATTTGTCCAGAGTGTCGATTGTGCTGCCCTCATGAGGCATGGCTTGAGTGGTCGAGCAGATGGAAAAAGGTTAGCCATGGTTAACCTGTTTTTAAGGGGAAACTGATGGAGTCAGGAGTCGGGGCATCCTGAATCAGTTTTTTTTCTAGCCCACACGGGTGCAGAACACCCATTTTTGGGGCTGGATTATTGCCTGGCTGCCTGGAAGTCGGCCAAGCACTTGAAAAGTCCATGAACGGTTGACCGAGGCGCCGGGTTCTTCCGACAAAATCCTTTGGTTTTTTCTTCTGCGCCGACCAGGGTGTGAGGATGATGGAAAGCATATGTTTCAACTGGCAAACCCTTGCATGTTGTATGACACAGGAGTTGATGCTTTCCAAACTCCTCTCACCTCTCACAGTGGATTGATTTAACACCAGCCGTAAATTCAGCAGTGGGCCAGGACACCTCCAAAAAAAAACATGAGGAGTTGGCCTCCTTGAAGCTGGAAAGACGTAGCGGAATCAACTGGACTGCTGCTGAACTCACCAGAATTGGTAAAACCAAGAGGATTGCACAGACACTCGGAGTTCTTTTTCCCCTGCCTCTGCGGCACTTGTGCTTTCCACACCATCCACTGGCAGGGTCGTGTCAAACACGTTTAAACATTAAACCGTTTAAACTGCAAACTGTTTAAGCAACTTTACAGCTGCTTTGGGGTTTGCTTTGTTTAAACATGGTTTAAACCGGCTTCGATGATGATGGTGATGAAAATGATGATGATTGCTAATTGATTTGATTCATTTTTTGTTGGCTGCGTGGCCATTTGGGTAGATCAAGTTGGCGCCAAAGCGTGTATCCCTCGCAGAGAGGGCTGCAGCAAAAGCTGCTTCTCGCCAAGGCCTCACAGAAGGCACATGCCCATGATGTGGAGAAATTTGATCCACCAGGTCGCAGTTGGTTGCGGCAGCACTTCCATCTGAGACAGGAGTTTTAGAAGGATAGCGCTAGGACCTGGTACTGGAACCTTTGCTGCAGTGGACGGCAGAACACTGTGGACCAGGTTTAAACGGGCATTGTTTAAACAAATGGCGTTTAAACATGTTTAAACAGCTGTGGTTTAAACAAGATAGATTCAGGGTTCCACCAGTTTCAGCAAAGGAGTACCTCGAGTATGAAGGTCACCTCACCGCTGGGTGCCGCCAAGTGCTCTCTGCAGCTGCAATGTGTGATCCCCACTTCAAGACCTTGACTTGGGATCCTTCTTGCGCTACCCTGGACAGCAAAAAGAAGCGGAATATGGAATTCCTCACTGAATGCTACACCTTGTACCGCCAAGTCTTTGACCAGCCTGATAGAAAGGTCTTTCCAGAGATACCTGTGCCAACCAAGAGACAGAAGAAAGACATCGCTGACAGCAAGAACCTTTTCAACCGCTTCCAAGTTCAGACTTCTTCAGGCTTTGCCTCTGACTCTAACCTGATTGCTGTGCCCACCGTAAGCGATGTGGGGGTGGAAAAGGCATGGGCAAGCTTCAAAGTCGAATTGAAGACGAAAGTCTATTCCTATTGGTTTGTGTGGAGCCCACCTATCATGATGCGCTCCGTTGGTGGCAGGAGACGGGCCGAGTCCAGTTTCCCTTGGTGCTTCCATGTGCCAGATACTTTTTGAGTGTCTTCGCAGCACAAGCTTCAGCGGAACGCATCTTCAGTGCGTCCAGAGACACAAACTTGCAGCCGGCAATCTGGAAGGTGACATGCTGGGCAGACTGGTGGCAGCGCATGTGAATCTGCCAAGTGTGCATGACTATCGAGCAAAGCGAGCTGCTCTCCATCCTCGCACCCCAAAGTCCGAGCCAAGCACAACGCCAACCAAGAAGAAGCTCGATAGCGTCGAAGACGCCATTGAGATCAACAAGTGATCTTCTAAAGGAAGCGTCCATAAAGGGTGGCAGGCATGCTGAGCAGTTGTGCAAGACTATGAACTAGGGATCAAATACAGCAGACTACTCACTGTAGACATATAGGCAGAGACTCTAGTCCATAGACCTTGTACCTCCCCATACCCATTGTGTAAACATACATGCACTCTGTGGTTTAAACATGCACTTGTTTAAACATATGCGTGTAAGCCGGGCCTTAGTTTAAACAGTTTAAGCCAGAAGGCTGCCCAACCCTTGTCCACTGGTGCCTTTCTCCCACCAAACATGGCCGGGCCGCCGCCCCACGGCGGGCACGGAACGCAAAAGGCCCTCTCCGCCAGCGAGAAGGTCTTGCAGCAAACAGCAGAGCGGCTCAAGGAACTTGACAAGAACCTGGTTGTCCGCATACGAACGCTGAGTTCGGAGGGAGCAGGCGGACCCGGCAGAACCAGGCCGCCAGTTTTTGCAGAATGCAAAGAGGAACAGGGCCCAGGTTAAGCTTCTGCAGATGCATGCACGCACCCAAAAAGCAGGCTGGAGAGAAGCTCCCGCCATTTCCTTTGGCCAAGTGGCGGCCAAGATTTGAAGAGCGGATTTTGGAGTCTCATGGTTTTTTGTTGCGTTCCATGTAGCAGCCAGGGGCATCAGAAGGTAGAACTTCTAAAGGCGAGCGGCTTTCCAGCGTGAAAGCTGCTGAGGATGGCGCGAAGACGCCGTTGTTCCAAGCGATTGTTTCATTGCGACCGCACAGGGGGGCCACGCTAAATCTCCGGACCCAGTTGACCCCAACAAGCTACCACTACTACTGCTACTGCTGCTGCTCTTGCTGCTACTACGGGTCAACTGAGCTCAACCGAGTCAACTGGGCCCACCACCACTACTATCACCGCCGCCACCACCACGATGACGACGATGATGACGACGACGACTACGACTACCACTACGACTACGACTACTACTACTACTACTACTACTACTGCTACTGCTACTGCTACTGCTACTGCTACTACTACTACTACTACTACTACTACTACTATTACCACCACCACCACCACCACGACTACTACTACTACTGCTACTACTACTACTTCTACTTCTACTTCCTATTTCATTTTTCTAGTATTCCTTTTCAAGACAAGGCACACCCACGGGAAGTAAAAGGTTAAACGCAAGAGACAAGAATTCTTGGGGTCTGGCGACGATTACTACTGGGCATGTTCGACCAAGCATGGATCCCTACTAGTGCTAGGCATTAAGAAGGGCAATCTGAAGAGTAAAAACCTAACTCAACACCAGGACCTAACTCAACACCAGGGGTCCCGTGTTGACCTTGGTTGGGGCCCTTTCCTCAAACAAGTCGAGAACTGATTGGACCTCAAGAGGGGACCTGTGCGCAAAAAACATTCACACGTGACACAAATGATCCAAAATCATCCAAGGATGTAGTTCGATGTTAAGATGTTTTGGTTATGACCTACACACACGTCAATAGAACTTTTTTGTGCATATCCAGGCCGATATGAAGGCGTTCTCAGACGTACGATGTTGCCGGCACACGGGTCACCTGTTTAGATCTGGGGAGCTCTCAACCTGCCAGAGGTCCAGTTGACCCAGTTGAGGCACTGGCTTCACCCGAACCACTGGTCCCAGTTGATCCAGTTGATGCAGTTGCCATCACACAAAGTCAACTGGATCAACCGGGTCAACTGGGACCACAGATTTTACCGGCCCCCTGTGCCGACGCACTCGATTGTTTTGCCTCCCATAGATGTCCAACGGCATCAGATGTTCAAGCATTAGGCAAGATGCCGAGTTCCAGAAACTGGGCCCAAATGGACATCGTTTTCAATCAGATGCTTTTGGATTGGCACTTCAAGCGCGGTTTCCTTACAACACCTGTTACGGAATCACACCGGCGTGCGGGGTCGCACCGCGCGTGGCAAAGCGTGGCGGGACAGCACGGCATGTTCTTTGGAGGCCTTTAAGAACCGCTCCATCGACTGGTATGAGAAACGCATGGCCACCCTCAACCTCTTTCATGACCCGAGCTGCGCCGGGGCACCGGGGGCGGGAGAGCCAAGCCGGCGGGTGAAGGAGTCCTCTCCGTGGCCGGTGTGATTTTCGTGTTTTCTCATCATGAGACGATCTACGTTGCAGTTTGCCCTATTTCATCCTGAGATGTGTCAAGTTCCCCTTTTAAGCAGGCATTCAAATGTAAGATGATCCAAATTCCAAGTAATGAAGATGATGGACCCTCTCATACTTTGATGAGAGTTAGACAGTGGTCGACAATTGACCAACGATCACGCGCACGGAAGACCTGAAAGAATATATATATATAGTTTTTTCCCTTAGGCCCTCCACACGAACCCAGGTTACTCTATGTGGTCACTTGCCGGCTAAGCCCCAAGTCACATCAGTGTAAGTGAGCGTCATCCAGTTCCGTTAAGTTGGTCACCTCCTCTTCACTATGGGTATACACAATCTTATTCTGGGGTTTGCAAGCCCTTGACGTTGACCACTAACCGAACCTAGACAGTTGGTATATAAATAAGCCCCCCATGTGGTAGATGTGGCATCATTCCGCAGATGGATTTATCAACCGAATCCACCGTTTGCATTACTCTGGTGGATCAGCCTTGCAGGACATGACACTGCTGGTGAACAACTTCCACACCATCTACAAGAACTGCCCGCCGGCGGCGCTGCTGGCGGCGCCGCAGCTGCAACGAGTTCTTGGAGAAGTTGTTGGGGACCTCCATTGGAAGTGGGATGGTCCAATAGATATTCAAAGTGGAACCGCTTCAGTATTCATTGACCTGGTTTTGCTTCAGGTGATGTTGTTTTGTTTTCCCGATGGGTTGTTCCTTAAAGCAAAACCAAGTTGAGATGCCACGATGTATGTGAAAACTGGTCGCACGTCAATGTCGACCTTTGGGATGAGGTTGCCTCCAGCCCATTCCTGTATTGTTGACACACACTCGTTTTGGGACGTATAGTGGATTGAGAGTAGATGGCACAGACCCCAAGAGGTGGTTTATATGGACCCCCATCTAAAGGACATCTTGGGGTCTGTGCCATCTACTCTCAATCCACTATACCTTTCTGCCCCGAGAATGCGGAGATGGGATCTTCTAGAACAGGCGCTCCATAACTCCCCCATCCTGCCACCCGTTGAGCCACATGCGCCCTTCAGCACGTGCCCAGTCGCTTCGTTTTAAGACCAGGGCAATCCACGCCTCTCGAGGTCTTGTTGAAGCTCGAGTCGATGTACTTCGAAGATGAAGAGAAGTGGAACACGCTGCTGGAGCCTCTTGGCCACCACGTCCCTAGTATCCATTGCGAACCTGGATGCCCATTTTAGCAAATACATCCCCAAAGGGTTCAATCACTGGGAGAAGCCGCCTTGCGGCGTGTGTGACGAATGCAAGCTCGTGCGCGACGAAACAGGCAAGGCCGAAATACTGCCACAAATACCGAACGACGTGCTTTTGAAAAGACTGAGTTAGGCTCATGAAATTGCAACCTCGGGCTGTTGCTTGTGTGTGCCATGGCTGATGAAAGCACAGAAACTGAGCAAATGCTGTTTGGGGTCAGTGCTGGTGTAGTCTTCTCATGTAGCCTTTGTTTTGTCGCATTCTTTACCACGATTCAAAGCACAGCCGTCCACAAGATTCACTTCCCCCCTCTTCTTGTGACTGCTTGCCTTCTGCATTCCCTGCACGTCGATATATGCGACTTCACCGCACAAAACTTTGCATTCGGCAGATCCCAGGGAAAAAACTCCTTGCGCCTTGCACAATTCCATGTGTCGGTTCCTGCCCCACGGGAACGATAAACACCTTCCACGGAACACCAAACACCTCGGGGATAAAACATTTTCCTGGAAACATTCCAACTATCAGGGAACAAAAATCACCCGGGAATCCCGGGAACGGAAAACCTGGGAACAGAAAACACCCGCAGGGAACCACAAACATGCAGCTATTGCTGTGCCCCAGTCAGCCCACTTCTCCAAACGTGCTCTTTTGGTGTTTCAATCGGTTTGAGGATCCAACCATCGCCTCCGTCTGAAGCTTCCCTCCAATCGCACTTCGAAGAAGATCACCATATGTTGCTGCCAATGGAGCTGCAACTAGGTATTCGAGTAGGGAAACCTCTAAACCCTCCACTCTGACTCACGAACATAGTGACCATAGCTCCTTGAAAGATGGCTTTCCTCCAAACACATGCATTGTTCAATCATTGTTCCACTTCCATGGCTACTGCCTTGTGTAAGACCACCAAAGGAGAGCGCTCCAAGCTTCGCTTCGCTTCGCTGCTTCGGGACCGATCCGACTCGGATGCGACTCGATCCGAGGATCTACGTGAACGCGCAGCACCAGGCCTCCGCCCAAGGACGCGCCGACGGACGGTTTCGGCGACGGGTGCGGGGGGAAGGAAGCGACGCGGCGAAGGGGCTGGAGGAAGACTTCATCGGCTGGAGCCCGAACAAGTCTAGGATTGGGGGTGGCGTCTCTATATATCTAGGATTCCTGGCCCACCATTAGTACAGGCTGAATCCCGAACCATTGAGCTGCTGTTTTACTACGGATTTGGGACTGCCAAAAAGCAGGTCAACCATTGTTCAAGTGGTCGAACCGAAGGCTCAGGACATCTCTCATCAGAAGGACATCCATGCGGTCGACGTGTGCTGCGGTGGATTTGTTTGTTGGGGGGAGGTGCTTTCCCACCCCTTAATAAGTTTGGATGTCTTGGAAGGAAGCATGCTGATTCATGACACAGTCACTTCATGCAGATTGATTCTGGTGGGATGGTGGGGCAACGAATCTCGAAAGAGATTTCCCAGCATGAGCGCATCTGCAAACGTACCTAAACATTGATGTCAGTAGAGGTGCCCCACTGTCACGCGGCATCTACGCCGTCGGATTTGGAGCCCAGAGAAGGATGGGAAACGAAAAGGATCCGAAGCCGCCCGGAGGTGCAGAACTACGAGAAGCCAAGGTTCGACGTCCTCGGCACACAGGTCAGCAGGTGACCCCAACTGGGCCACCAAAGCACTCAGACGGGCCCTGCGATGCGAGCATGACGCACTATGACCAAGACTTATCAAATTCGACGATCGGCCTGGGGCCGTCCACAATTGGTTTTCTCATGCGCCTGATCAAGAGTGGCACAGGTGGAAGGTCTGCCGAAGCGCTCTCGGCTTGCATCGACTGCAGGGTTTTTGGGAGCGGTGATCGAAACACCATACGCTGATGGTACGGCACAGCCACACTTCATCTCCAAGACCATGCCGCCTGGGACTTGACCCAACCAGCCCCACCTGCTCAACCTCTCACCGATGAGCAGGTGCTTGAACTCTTTCCCCCCCCACCATGGGTTTAATTCCCCCTGGGACGGGTGAATTTATCTTCAATTGTATCGTTTCTGGGTGTCAATGGATTCGTATCGAGCTTTTCCTCCCTCCTCGATATTTGGCTACTCCCGTTGGTGCTGCTGCTGCTCTTTCTGCTTTGCTGCTGCCTGCTGTTGGCTTGTTGCTGCTGCTTTTCTGCTGTCACTGCTGCTGCTTTGCTGTTGTTGCTGTTGAAAAATCAGATGCACGGCTTTGCGCTGTGTGATCGTTCTTCGCCATACACTGCACCTGACCTAACTTAGTCATCATCCAAATTCTCCGCTGAAGAACGTGATGACTGAGAACTGATCTAACACCGATATGCGTTGCAAAAAGTTGAGGTAGACTGAGCCTTTACTTTTGCAACCTTGACATACGCAAGCCTGTACAATGTTGCAGGACAATTCTTCAATGGAAAGAAGACTGGAGCAATCAGATCTCTGATCAGCCCAAAATCCCGCGCTGGTTTGGGGCAATGAGACAAAAATAAATGTGTTAGATAGCTGGCTTTGCCACGCAGACGTCAGTGCATTTGATGTGCCTAGATAGTGAGGCTAAGAACTTCATATACATGGTCACACGATGTTTAGATGATTTCAGTGTTTTTGCTGTACTGCTGTACTTTATTCCAGTTCATAGTTGAGCAGCGTTCAGAAGTCTCATGTACCGGAAAATTGCAAGGTTGGTTTCAAAGCGATTTTGCTACCCAAAGCATAACAGCTGACGAGTGCTTTGCGAATGCTGCTCTGCTCTTGAGCGAGCCAAAGGCATGTTCCCTGCAACGACGCAAGCCTCGGCATTCTTCGAATGGATCGCACGACTACAGCATAGGTATTCGCGAAATGTTGCTTTCACCAATGGAGCTGAATGGCGAAATTTGCATTGTTGGTATTTCCGCAGCACCCAATAGGCGACGGCTGAATGATCCGCTTTGGGAAAGTGACATGTAAGTTGTCCGCTGAAAAGTAGTGTCCCATGACCTCAGCAGCCAAAACTAGAAGTCACCTGAGCAAAGTGTGACCAGAAGTAGGCCTCATGTTGGATCAACAGGCCGTGTCAGTGCAAAAGTATATCCAAAAAGGTGTTCCGAGAATCTCTTACTGGAGTGTCCAGCAACAGTATCTTGAAAACCAAGTTTGAAAGGTTTCTTCAACAGTGTTGGCCAAGAATGCCCCGCAGTTCACGAGGGTGTCTCATCAGAGTGTCCCAGACGGTCAAAATGTTCGGCGTGCAAACGCGTGTTCCCCGTCAAACGTGTTCAACAAAATGTGCCTTCCACGTTCCTTCGTTACTCAGGCGTCGTCTCGAGGTGTCCAAGGCGTCAAGAGGTTTCAGGAGCGTTGTAGCGGGGGCGCATTAGAGGCGTCAGAGGCGTCAGGCGTCTTTGCAGACATTTGGATCGAAGGCGGTCGTCAGGAGTGGCCAGCCACAATTGGACAACTGTAGAACTACATCATTGTACCTGAATGCTTCACATGTGTTTCAGAGAAACACTGAAACTGACTGGTGCTTAGTAGGGAATATGGGAATGGATCCAAAGGGACCCACAGGGGTGGTTCATTCCCTTATTCCCTACGAGTCGCACCAGTCAGGAAAGCACCCAAGAGTTTGAGCTCACCACTCGTTCCTGCCGACCCGTTCGCCAGGAGACCTCTTCGCCTCGCACTACGCGGTCGACCGATGGCCGCTGCAGCAGGGCATCGCCCATGCCCTGGCCCTGCGGCGCCAGGGCGGCACAGCCAGGCCCGTCGAAGTCGTGGAGGGTGAGTCCCTGGCGTTCCAGTCGTACCTGCTAAGAAGGTGGGACTGGGGTGGGTGCCAGGAGGGTCCAGTCATACCTTCTGAGGAGGTAAAACTGGAGCCCTAGGGATTAGATGTAGCTGTTGGCGGAAGAGAATCACCTTGTTAATCATGTTCTTCTTCCGTGGCTAGGGGAAACACGACATACCATGATCCACCACTGGCTTGTTTAGGAAGTTTATCTACCCATTATCTCCTGAATCGAGTGCTTGCTGACATGCCCCTTACAAGCACAATCATCCACAGGATTTATGAGGTGAACGGCACAGAAGACTGCGCCGATTGAGAACTGTTCCAGTCTTCCAAACTGAATTGAGGGAGAAGCTGTGCCCAAACAAATCCCCAATCTGACTCATGGGAATACTGGAATACTAAACTGTCTTTGGTTGCACATGCATGTCCGCCCCCCTTGGCACTCCTGGTGTGCGGTCGTCCCAGACCTCTCGGTCGTCCGCTCCGATCTCCGGTCCGGGTACCGCCAGGTCGCTGGAGTTGGTGGTGTGCTACTGCCACTCGTCGACCGGTTCCGGGAGGGGCTTCCGTCAGCCGCGCGCGACATGCGAAGACGGGATGGAAACCCTCCGCAGTCACTGTGTTCATCGGGGAGCAGCTGGACCAGCATACCCCGAGGTGAGGTTCACATCACTCGAGTTGGGAGAAAGGAACCCAGTGCATTTTTGTTATCGTGTGACGGAGTTGATGCTGCTGGTCGATGTTGCTCTCAAATTCGCCGAAGAGCGAGATTGAAAGTCGTCCAATCTCGAAACTCCGAGCACCACATCATACCAAATCCATCCAAATCCAAAGCTTGCAATGACACAATTGAGCTTGTCAAAATAGGTTTGGGATCTGAGCGATCTGAGCCCAGGAGTTCTTTGGTCGAAGTATATGGCCCCAAGTCGGCCACCGGGCGACGGCCCAACGGAAAGCACTCACAAGAGAGACTGAAGGGGCGATGAGGGACGATGTCTTTCGGCTGTGAAGACTTCCATTCAGCTAGGATGAAGACAACTTCTTCACACGATGTCCGATGTCCGTTTGAGAGTCGGTTCTTCGGTCGGTCGCCTGTGCATTGGCTGGTCAGTCGTGGTCACCCCAAAAATAATGAAGTGTTTGGTTGAGTGGCGCAGACATGAACCACTAAGCTTCACGGCGGGCTAGGGGAGAAGACTCCTCGGGTGTTTGCAGAGGAAACTGAACTTCAAATGTTGTAGGGTCTCCCGCGGGCTGTCCTTGTCCAGGGCAATCCTAAGAAAGCACCCAACGAAGCACCTGTGGTTCTGTCAATGGTCACAATTACATACAAATACCGAATACCTTATCCAGAGAAGCGGATACCCTCCAAATGAGTACATGGGACCGGCCTCGCAGTCGGTCTGGCCTTGTGCTTATGCTCTTCAAGGGGGCGCTGCACGTGATCGAAAAGATCGATCGTGGCGCGCTTCCATCCGCGTTTGGAAGGCTCCCGGACCAAGGAAAGGAGCCGTTTCGTCTTGCGTGGCATGAAACCTCTGAAACGCCAAGGGGTGATGAGGAGGGAACGCCAAGGGAACCTTAAGAACTGGGATCGGTGAGAAGTCCTTGGCACTCTGGTCTTCGAAGGCGGCCGCCAGGCATCACCAAAGGCGTGCGCAGTCTTGCTTTCATTCGGGAAACCTGCTACAAGTAAGCTCGTACTTGTCCCCAGGGCCTGCAAATCTTAGCTCCCATCATCTCAATAGAGTTGCCCCCAGGCAGACGGACACGTGCCCTTGTCCCCCTAGAAAATGTTCCGAAATTCCAATGGAACTAGGAGCATTCCCATGTTGATTTTGAGGCCCTTTACGTCCTTAAAGACACTTCCAGCAACAATCGCCTCAAGAAATGCCGGAGCAACCCACATCGTACAGCACCGACGCCCCCGCAAAAAAAGAACTCACCTGACCTGCTTCGCAGTTCCGCGGTGGGTCACGCCGCGCACCGGGGACCGGCGAGGTTCGGAGAAGCTCTCGTGGCTGCGCGCCTTTCATCGCCTGCCCTGGCGAGATGAGGACCGCTCCGAGGCGGTGCAAAAGCAGGTGGCCCTGCGCTTCTACCACAAGCGGCTTGGCGATGAAAGCGGAAGAAGCGGCGAGGTGAGCAGCCGTTGGTTGGGGATGCTTCGGGGTTGGATTTGCAGAGAGAGAGAGAGAGAGAGAAGGAGAGAAGACAGATTTTAGGAGCCAAAACCCGCAGCGTGGGGGCCAGGATGCAGAGTTTCAAGGGGTTGCTTTGTTTATCAATCGATGTTTGATTTCTTTTGGGGGTGCTTCCACGTTGTTGCTACCTGGAGCTAACTCCTAGCCACTAGGGATCCTTAACGCGGTTTCATGCCTTCGCGCTGGTCATGCCAATGAGTGCACCATCCGTAGAAGAACCTCCGGGTGTGTTTAAGATCGCAAGTCAGAGGGCGCACTTCCATGCAATGCGATTGCCCACAAAAGGTTTTCTGGGCACAGAGAGATTTGAAGTGTCAGGATAACCAAGCTCTTCATGTATTGAGAGTTGGGAAATGAAACGACCTTTGAAGGTATCACACAGCCAAAGCCAAAGATCGAGATCATTGCAACGAGTTTGTGGCCCTGATCGTTTGAGGTCTCAATCAACCTACCCCTTTTGCGGAAAAGGCTGCTACACCCCAAAAGGTAACAGAGCAACCCACACCTGGCTCTGCAACAAAGAGAGTTTTTCCGGCCAGTTGGGTACAACAAGAGACCCTCCCAGCCTTCCGTGGGCAACAGCCCCGGAGCCAGCAGAATAAGCAAGTGCCACCACGGGATAAATAGGCCTGATTGGTATGGTGTTATCTCAATCCAGCCTTCAGTCTTCAATTAAATGGCCATTCCTTGCTGGGTGCTCGTCCCCCTTAACTTGAGGCAGCAAGAATTCGACAAATACCCCAACCCAATGTTGGAAGCAGATACTCTTACACCAATCAGAGAAGTTTGACTCTTCCAAACCCAAAAAAAAAAGAAGAGTAACCTGATTCTGTCCTCCAAATCCTCCTTCTTCCCTCCTCCTCTGGGCCTCTCAGGTGTGGTGCCATGACCTCCGCCGCACGGGCTGCAGAGGCGCAGCGGCTGGTGGAGGCCTGGGCGAGCACCTTCCGCGAGGTCTCCGTCGGGCAGCCCAAAGAGGACGAAGAGCGCGGTGCTCGACAGGGCCGAGACAGGGGAAGGACTGGAAGTAAGTTAGGGTGAAGGGGGGGCATGGACATAGCACTATAGGTATTGTTGTATTTACAATCCAAATATATATATATACATATACATACTCATTCAGGTCCGCTTGCATATAAAACTGTCGGAGTCATGGCCTACCTCCAGTCGCTGCTTGATACGAAGAGGTCTTGCTTTTGCTTTTGGTGTGAAGACTTGGAATGTTTGGCGGTCAACTTGCGCAAGGCCTACGGCGGTCAATGCAGTTGGATCTTCTGAATCGCTTGCTGCGTTTGGGATAGTGCCTACCTCCATGTGAGGTGGCTTACGCTCACTCATTTTTGCTTGCCAGAAGGCTATCTCGCAGCTCTGTGGCTCCTGGTTTTGTTTGTGTTTTTCTTGCTTCTTTTCGCATCAGAGTTGTAGGGCTTCAGGTTTTTCGCTTGGACCTTTGGTTTCCTCAGCAAGCGGGAAAGAAGTCAAGAGAGGTGCTGCCCGAAGAGGCCTTGGCCAAAATGGTCAAGCCGAAGCATTGATTCGGCTGCAGCGCAAGAACAGTGACACTTTCATCTTTGCAAAGTTCACCGAGCACGCTGACAGGGTGATAAGATGCCAGTGACTCCCACTGGTGCCCCTTTGGACGTCGACAAGAACTCCTTGTGTCTTCACTTCGAGCGTGTCAAGGCCCAGTCAAAACACCATGAGCTACGCAACGAGGCAGCCTACTTTTCTACTTGGCAAATCGGAAATATGAGGTGACATTTATATATATATATACAATACGTTTACGGCTCATGTCTCAGGAAAGACCAGTAGTTGGTCCGACCTTCGGTACGAAGCAGAATGCAGATTGGCCGAAGTGGCTTATCCATGGACGAGTGGCTCCAGTTCTCCGAAGGGTCCGGCTCCAGAGCATCGATGGCCTGTTACGAAGCATCGATTGAGAGTGGATGGCACGGTTGGACCCCCAAGTTTGGTGGCCTAGATGGACCCAGTGATGGACCCCTATCTGTCTAAGTCATCTTGAGGGTTGCATCATCGAACCTCTGAAACCACCAAGAAGGGCCATACGGGCATCGGCACCTTGGCACTGCTTCCCACAAACTGGAGGCTGCACCCGAACCAAAGAGCTAGATGTTGGCTCGGTCCAAAGAACAGTTGTGAGTTGTGAGGGTCCAAAGCCTGGCGAACGGGTTGGGTTCTTTCTGAGCCGGGAAAAGACCTCCTTTTTCTTAGACTCCGCTTTGAGCTCGAAGTCTCACCTGGGATGAACACGACCAACGGGTGTGGCGCTTAAGACGCCCGGTGGTTTCATCACCTCATCCGAGACCGAGGAAACCCTCCCAAAGCCCGAGGTGCGCTACGTGGACGACGTGCTCCGCGCGGACGACGACTCGGCCTATTTGGCCTTCATCGTGGACCGGTGGCTGCGATCAAAACGGTGGGAGAGGTGCCGCGCGGTGACTGGGAGGAGGAGGATCGACCGGTGGCCTCGAAGTGATCCATAAAGGATTGACACTCCTGGATGTGAACGTTCGCAGATTGAACCGGAGGCACCTGTCCATACCCACGAGCAATCACTATTCTGGACCAGAACAAAATACACGATTAGGTGCCATGCGCCCCACGCAACAGCATGGTAAACCAATGTGACGGATTGACCAAGCCACAAACCGCTGCCACGAAAAGACAGAACCGCTACTAAGCTCAGACCGATTGGGCACAAAAGTCGCTGGGTGAAACAGCAGGGATGCTGTCGACGCCGCGTCTGGGGGGGTCATTTTGGCCTTGTGGATTTGGATCCTCAAAAGGGTGCGGCTTCGGGTTGCTACTGAGAGCAAAGCGACTGGTATAGCGAGCACGATGGCAGAAGGTTCAATTCTGTGGTTAAATTGGGACTATGAGAATCTAAGAATTTTGGAGTGTCTCTTTTGGCCGGCTTTCTTCCACAATAAGGCATGTGTGGACCTTTCCCCGACGCATAGCTTGCTTGGGACTGCCATATTGACCGAGAAACAGCCAGGGGTGGTTGACCCGCAAAACGAGATGACGGCGGTCTCTTTTTCATCCAGGACGGCACAGGTCCTGGACCGGTGACTCACGAATCTAGCGCGAGAAAATCTCTCTTTCTCCCAGGTATGACACCTTGCCAGACTACACCGTCTTCCTACATGCGGATGCCCCGGAGCTACTCGGCAGACGCGTGCCGTTGGACAGACTAACGGAGAGCCGTCGGGTTTGCCAGGGGGGGGGTGAGCGTGGGATGTGTGGGGTTTGCAGTTGGCGTGCGCTTTTTGATCCCCAACTGCAACCTTGTGTGCTGTTGTCCTATAATAGCAATGCTTGTTGATATCGATTGGCTATGACCACTTTTGGGGCATGAGGCCAGGCCTCCTTCATCAACCTGGACCTAAAGGCCATGACCCTTTTAATCTAAACAGAATTTTCCTGGAAATTCTTGGCAACCCTGCCCCCACGAACAATGGTGCCGGGCGCCAAGCATGGGCCGTGAGTTGATATGGAGAGACTCAAATTAGACTCCCAGGGATGAGTATCACAGTATATTCGATCATTTCGGAGATGTATGACGTAAACAGACAGAAACCATCGCCAGAAGAAGATCTGCTCCATGTCGCATGCTCCGATCTGCCGCTGAGCACGTGCCAGATCGATCCTGCCGCCATGAAATGGGCCTGACCCCGCCGTTGCGATCGGATGAAACTCACCACAGACACCGCTCCCGGTGGGTCAGTGAGGCACGTGCCTTCGCTGGAGCTTCTGACGGACACCGTCTTTGCGGCGATCCGGGGGTATCTCTCTGAGAGCCTTGGATCGGTCGATGGGAATGGAAGACCGTGTGACCTGCTGAATCCAGTTCCGATGGGAGGGGGGGTAGGAAGCTACTAGGAACAATGTTCGCTACTAGGAACAAGTGCATCGCTTCTAGTAACAAGTGCCTTACTAGTAGTAACAAGAAGCTACTAGAAACAAGTGCCTTACTAGTAGTAACAATAAGATCTTAATTAGAATTGTAATTACTAGCAAAGGAATCTATTATTACACTCCGCTATTACATTGGGTGTGACCGTGTGACCTGGAGTTCAGCCGTGCAGCTCGACCTCGAGCGGCAGAATCCACGGCCTGGACCCGCTGCTCGTGCGCTCCACCGTTGGCTGGAGGAGTTGGCTTGTCCACCTTTTTGGCGCCGAACTCGCCACGACCAGGAAGATCGGATTCGTCCACTTCGCGCACAACTACGTCCTTCACGATCTGGGTTGTGACATGGCTTGAAACGGGCTGGGATGCAGTTTTGGATGGAAACGAAGCTATAGAGGGCTCGGCAGGAAACATGGGAGGAAGCACGGCAGCTTTCTTGTGGGCATGTCCATAAACAGCCTGCCAAGGAAAAGCCGAGGTTCGTTATAGGGCCGTCTTGTTTTCCAGATCACTTCAGCAGCTGAAGCTGAACTATCAGGTTTGCAACCGTGATTGCTGTGAAAAATCACCCCAGCTGAACCACTTGGAACGACGCTTCCTGCCCAGGGTCCCCCGAGTCTTCTGCCCCCAATCTCTTCAGCCTCGAGTTCCCCCCAAGGCCGGAACGACGCCCCCTGCGAGGGCCGGCAACTGGAACCCGCCACCCGGGTGCTCAAATTGTTCGACACCGTGGCGCGCGGTGTTCGGAGCGCCGTGTTTGGAGTGGAAAACGCGTGGTGAAAGAGGGTCCCTGCCATCCGCTTCGGAGGGTCCCTGCCATTTGGCATCCATTCGCCAAGAACCATCCATCTGGGGCGACTTCTTGGGTGTGCCAGGTGGCACCCCTGCTTGGGAGAGAGGTCAGCTTGCAGGCGTCATCCCGGGTATACCGCAAGACCAAGCTGTCATCCCTGATCCGCAAAGTCTCACAACACACTGAAGGCACAGACAGTTTACTTCACTCAATCGCACAGTGGTGTACTGCTGCCCGGAGGCTGTGGCTTCATCCATCCACGCTCGATAGAAATTCGGTGAAACGAAAAAATCGCATC